AGCCATTCCTAGGACTGTGGGGGGCCAGCTCCATGGTTTGCAATAGAAGCAGAATAACAGGCTGGGCCAGCATTTATCTTCTCAAATGAATATACACAAACACAGCACTTGGAAATCCAGTGATTCTAGAGACCTGTCAGAAGTGCCAGCCTCAAACAGTATCTTCAGCCCTTTCATTGTATTTGAGTTATTTACCAAATAAAGGCCCTCTTCTTACAAAGGGAGAAAATTAACAAAAGCAAGACCACCATCAAATCCTGATATTTACTCCCAAAAAACAAAAAGCATTGTGCTAGATGTCTGACAGCTTCACAAGCATCAAGTCACCAATAAGGAAACTGAGACAGGGGGGAAACTGTTGACACCTTATCAAACAGTTAGATTATGGCAGAGGGAGGGAGGCTGGGCTCTGTTGTGAGATGTCAGGGACCTGGGAGAGATACAAGCAATTCTGACTGCAGGAGGGTAGACCGTGTGTGTGTGTGTGTGTGTGTGTGTGTGTGTGTGTGTGTGTGTAAGGGGGGGCATGGTCACCTGGAGTGGGCACACACACCATGGTGAGGTCTACAGAAAGGCCAGCAGGGAATATGTGGGAAAGGGGATATCTAATCTAATGCTGGTTTTGACTCTCTGCATGCCAGGTCCAGGGCAGGGCCCTCCATCTATGATGGGCTTCTGGGACTTCACTCTGTACTGAGTGGCTGACTTGCTGGCTGGCTGGCTGGCTCTTTGAACTCTGGGCTATAGCTGGCCCTCTAATATCCAGGGGAGGCCAGAATTGGACTGTGCCATCTACCAAACCCTTGGTGTAGTTTCTTCCAAGCACCAACTGGCATAGAGATGTTTTGCCTTAGTTTTCAAGTAGGTTTGTGGTGGAGCGGTCTGTGTGGTACACACTTAGTCTGGAAAGGTTTACTGTCCTGGCGCTTTCTACATAGGCAGAAAGGCACAGAGGTATGACAATGACAGATCTCAACCCTCAGGTGGAGGCCAGAGAGGAGAACTGCATCCCTGGCAGTAATTTGGGACCCAGGAGCCAATGGAGTGGGACAGCATAGCTAGGAAATGAGTGACTGCTGCTGGAGAAACTTGGGGTCTATGAGAAGGCAAGACCCCTGACCTGAGGCTCCCTTCCAGAGGCCTTGTCTACTCACTTATCCAAACTACAGAAAAGTTATTTATCCTGGTGCAACCATGATTGTCATTTCTTGTCACTCCTGAGGCTACCTTGGGCAGAAGAGCTCTTGAAGAAGAATTAATCCAGGGTGGGAGGCTGTAGGCTTAAAATTCACAGCCAGGAGACAGTACCTAAACCTGCCTACAGCCTCCCACCCTGGTAGAGAAGTAAAATTAGACTTACAGAACCCGGGGCAGAGCTGTCTAATTTTATTTAGGAAGGAAAGCAGTTGTGATATTAGAGGTTTAATGAAGTTAGAAATTGAGAAGGAAGGAGTGGGAATAGATTACCATGGGAAATAAAGGCAGCCACCAGAGACAACACTGATATCAAACATCGGGCTTCCAAACCAAATATCTATAACACACTGGGGCTTAATGGTGGTTTGGGGGGCATATTTATCTAAAACCTATGGTTCAACAACTCATAAGTTCAACACTATCATTCTGTGTCTCTAGGGGAAGGATTTTGTCACTGGGGGGATCTATCTGGAACTGGGGCTGCTGGAAGTATCTGTCTGGGGTCATTTGCTTATGCCACTCTTGACAGTTCTGGGGTACCCAAACCTCCACTTGACTACAGCGAGTAACTGGGCCTCCTTGAGGGTCTAGCACTGTCCTACAATCCCACACCAAGCACGAACTGCTCCCTTTTGGCTGTTACTCAGCCACCAGATGAATGTGAGGCCACAGGGCAAACACCTATGAGGTGTGGCTACATAACAGTGGCATCCTCCAGGAGAGGCAAGGGCAAGTGTGCTGGTATTGGGATCTGGGGAACTGTTGCAGATCTGACATGAATAACTGAGCCAGCTAGATAAGACATCAGGATGGCAGTGGCTTCTTGGGCCAATGGCAGGACCATGGTGTTAAGTGTGTCAAATGCCAAAAAGTGCTGCCTAAAAATATTCACTAATGAGTGGCCCTAACACCACTCAGCATCTGTGGCCTGCAGGCCATGCTTTGAGAATTGCTGCGCAGAGGCATAGGGGAGGCAGCCATATATCAGAAATACCCTGAAGCTGCCAGGAGCTGGGCTAGGCAGGGGTTAAGTAAGCTGGGGCCTACAGATGGACAGGCTTGATAGCACCTTGACTTTGGGCTGCTGGGTTCCAGTATGGAGAGATCATCAGCTGCTGACATCAATGCTCAGCATGGGGTCAGCATTTAGACCAGTCATATCTCCTCACGGAGCCCCTATTCACAACAGGAAGTTTCTGACCCTCAAAGGCCTTGCCTGCTAACAAAGCTGACAAGTAGGAGATACCCTGGGGTTGTCTAAGGCCCAGGAAATACCTGCCACACAGTGGTAGATGCCTCCACACTCTTGGACTCCTTGCCCCTGCATCTTGTGGATGCAGACATCCACAGATGGACTGTAGACTAGTCCTAGAGGCTAGCCACAGGCTGAGGCCTCACATAGCAGGGAGGAGTCCTGGCCAGATTGCAGCTAGGGCCACTTGGGCAGAGCTGGCAGCCAGCTGCAACCTCATGAGCTGCCTAATGAGCCCCCACGCAATTTTTCACCCATATTTTTCCAATAAAAAAAGCAGTTAGACTCCAGCCACAGACCTGAGGAGGAGCCATCTGTCTGCCCACTCCTGAGCCTACAGCTAGCACTTCCTACACTGCCAGCTGCTGTAGTAGAGTGTAGCCCTGGTGGGTGGAGGTGCATAGCTGTCCTATGAAGGGCCAGTAGAGCTTGTGGGCTGCTGAGCTTTAGGAGACAGGTTAATAAGTCTATTTGAAAGAATTTGCCCAGAGGCTCTGCATCCTGACCTGCAGCAGAGCTCCAGGCTTGTCCCTGGAGGAGGGACACAGAGTACTAGATAGAGTCCTAAGCTCAGATTCTGTAGGCTTTGGAAGAAAGATGCTCAGATCACAGAAGCACCACCCTATCTAGGTGAGCTGTCCAGTCTCCCCTTCCTGTGACTACAGACCTAAGTCTATTGGACTCAGTGCCAAGGCTCTATACAGTGAACATATTGTGCCCTCCCCCACTCCAGAGTCTCTATGGCACTGGCTGTCCTGGAACACACAATATAGACCAGACCAGGATGGGCTCAAACTCACAGAGCTGTCTGCCTCTGCCCTATGGAGGGTCTAGCCACCACTTGTCAGTGACCCTGTTCAATGTTTCCAGGCCACATGTGTCAGGGAATGTGAGACGACAGTGCTGTGAAAAATCAAGTACAAGTTCCAGGACCCCCTGTGAATATGGGCTGCTGAAGGGCCTTTCTCCCTCCCAAGTTCTTGCTGTGTTGAAAAGATAGGGACATCACCACCTCAGAACAGGGCAGTGGCTTAGTCCTGACTTGCTTCTCAGTAGGGAACCTGGTCTGGGTATATAGCCTTGAGGCAAAACACTGGATAGCAGACCGGGCATCCTGGAGGCTCAGGGTCAACTCTGGCTACTGAGAATAGTTAATGGAGGGAGGTAATGGAAACCAGTTAGCCCTTCTGGCCACTTGTCCTCAAGAGAGGGATGCATTTGCTTCCTCTAGAAGATAGGATGAAGGAACAGGAGCTTGAAACAAACCCCTTCCTGTCTCCCTCCCATCCCACATACTATGAGCAGCTCTAGGCTACAGAGAGACTTTTCCTAAAGTTAGCTTTATACCAAAGGTGGTACCAAGGGACCTGCAGGCTCAGCACTTTCCCAGGTGCTTGTTTAACAGTTATGTCTGTGTAAGGCCTCTGTCAGCAAAGGAGGCAGCAGCTCCAGACAGGGGCACAAGTGCCCCGCCCTGAGCCCCAGTGTCTCCTTCTGGACATACTCATCTACAGGGCCTTGTTCCCCCCAGACGTGTTCTGTTCAAGGGACCTATAAGGAGATCCTGTACTGCAGAGGGACACAGTGGAGGCAGCAGAGGGACCTGAGACCAGATGATCCAGGCATGGAAACCACCAGAGCCAGAATGACCTGGCCCTGGGTCCTATTAATAATGCCCCTTCCACCATCTGAGACCAGTTGAGCTGAATCCTGCTCAAGACCGAGAGGTCAGACATGGCTCCATGGAGCCCTGCACTCTAAATAAAGTACGCATGAGCAGACACCAAATAGCCTTAAAGCACCCTCAAGATCCACACATACAAAACCCTTTTCACAAAACCTTGCCTCAAACCAAAGTCCAAGTCTAACTTCTAACCCCCTCCCATGCCGAGTCTGGGACACACCTTCTCCCTCTGTGTCCTCTCTTCCACATTTGGGATTGCCGTATCCAACCCCGGCTACCTGCACCCCAGTCCTCTTGGTTAGGCCTTTATTTGCTCAGAGGCCAACACCAGTAAGATGGGACCCTGCACCTGGCTACCCCAACTCATTTGAGAAGTGTGACCTTTGCTAAATCCCTTCCTTCCTGTCCTTAGATTCTTCAACCATCTTTGATAAAGTGCTACCTGGAGGGCCCTGAGAAGTTGTACTGATAGCAAGTTCTCCAACACTAAGCACTGAGGAGAACAAACCCCGGATTAATAGGCATATTTTGTTTTAAAAGGTAGAAAGCAATAATGACCAACAGCTCCCACCTGACCTCCTTGGAAGTGCCTGCAGCTGCTCAGCAAAAGCCCTGCTATTCTCCTTGAGGCCAGCCAGGGCATAGGGTGACCTTCATCAGTGTTTCAACAATGGCTGTCTATCTGAGGTCTACCGTTGGGATGCCTAAGCCACTATCATGGCAGGCACATCCAGCCAGGGAGAGGCTTCCTACTCTGCCTATAATAGGAGAGAATTCCCAGATACTGCCTCTTCCTACTATCAGGGCCTGCCCTGCTCTAGTGAGTAGGTATCCCAGGTCTACAAGGAAGGGAGAAGCCAGGCTCACCTTGTCATCCACGCCACTCTCACTGTCGCACTGTAGGTCAGAGAGAGAGAAAGAGAGAGAAGTAAGTCAGTGCCTTTTGTACTACCAGGGTAACAAGGGAACAGGATACAGGTGGGCATTCCTAGCCACATCTCAGCCAGGAGGAACAATGGAAAGGAACAGGGACAGATGAAAGGCATAATAAGGCTGGCTTGCTTCAGGGTAGGTAGATCCCAATATCCTAGGACCAGGCCAAACCCTGGAGCTTCTGAACGACCTGTGATGTTAGGGAATGTGCGAGGAGCTTTACCAGTCCAGATGAACCTAACTGTCCCAGGAAACCCCATGGGCCTTACCCCATGAAGAGTTTTATGATGAAGGCCTGGGTTGAAGGAGTCCCCCCCACCACACAAGAGATTTCCACTGCCAGGCAGCAGCTGCAACAGCTGTTCTACACCCAGATGAGATGGGGTACAGAGGAGACAGGTGGTACCACAAAGGCCAGTGGAACAGTAGACAGTGACACACTACCCAGCTCATGCACCTTCTCACGGTCTGAAACGGGGATTTAACTGGAGATGCCAGCATCCTACCCAGCTTCTCTGGCCTCTGGAGAAGACCACACTTATGCTCTGTAGCCTTGACGAGTCCCTTGACCTCTCAGTGCCTCAAGCCATGCTTCTGTAAAGCAGGGACAACAGCTTCTCTTGGTGGGAGTGTAAGGGGCACAGGACATTGGCTTTCAGTTTGGACTTGCCTGGGATACCCAGGGTGGAACTCAGGGTAGTCAGACTGTAAGAGATCCATTTCTGAGTACAGCTGGTTAACTCAAGAGTGTGATAATCAAGAAAACAAATCTTTGCTTCCCGTTTTCAGTAAGCAGATCTGAATAGGACATACTTCTATAGAACAATGCAGTTTCCTCTGAAATAAAAGGGGGGAAAATTTGCTAGCAACTGCAATTATGATACATTCACGTCAAATGAATTATATTGCTGAAAATAAATCTCCTCCAAGATGCATGAGATGATGGAGATTGGGCTGTAGTCAGATGTGTGTGGTATTGGCTTTATAAGTTGTGCTCAACTTGATTAATACACATCATCAAATTATACTTCCTTCTACTGCCCCAACTGAAGGCCATTCCATCTTCAATGACCAAGGTCAGATGGATAAAAATGTGTTCACCAGCCACTCACTGCAGCTGAAGCTCTATTCTAGCTCAAGGACAACTTGTCAAGAACCAGGGATGGGCATACAGGGGTCCACCCAGTCATGCAGTGTGGGTCATGGCCCCGGGTGGGCAAGCACTGAGACTCTGGATGCTAAGCCCACAGGTAGGCATCATTTCCTAGACCAGTGTGGTTCTCAGTCTTCCTAAAGCTGCAACCATTTACTACAGTTCCTCATGCTACTGTGATCCCCAACCTTACAAGTATTTCATTGCAACTTCATGACTGTAAGTTTGCTACTGTTGTGAGTTGTCATATAAATATCTGATATGCAGGATATCTGATATGTGCCCCCCCAAAGAGATGGTCACCCACAGGTCCTAGAGTAAAGAACATACATGTGACTCTTCAGCTTTGCACATAGCCAGGCCCCTCCCAAGATCCAGCATCACTGGCCTTTCTCAGCAGGAGCTCAGCAAGGACTAGGCCTGGGCCCTTCAAAACCTTGGCACCCCCTCCTACTGTGAGGTACACAAGATCTGGTGAGATAGCATATAACAGGGTTATGAAGGAGTTTGTAAACGAGGACATGATTGTGGGGGAAGGAGGGATGACCAAAACAGAGCTCATGGGACCTTTGAGGAAAGTGGGGGATGAGAATATGGAGGTGAGTGGAGCCTGAATACAGCTGGGCTTCCTAGTGCCTCTGGAATAGGACACTGCAAAGGGCATGAGCCGCCCCTCAAGGTAGATTTTTTTTTTGGTCAGGTCACTGAAACAGGTAGAGGGGAAGTGGTGGGGGCTGACAGTCCCTCCCTCTTACCTTGCTGCCTGGGCTGCCAGGACCCATGGTTAGGCCTCTTACCATCAAACCTCGGTAAACTGTCCGTGGGGCAGCCTGAGGACAACCGGATCGCCTGCAAGCACTAACCTCTGTTCCTTCTTCAGCCCCAGAGCCCACCTGCACCAGATCCTATGGCCAGAACAGCAATTCACAGACCTAGACTGGCCACCGACTGCCCCATGGCTTTCAGGTCTGAAGCCAGACCAGCAGGGCTGAGCAGTAGATAGAGCCTGAGGAAGGGTTGCTTACGGTGTCTGCCAAGTGAGAGAGAACCCTCTAGAATGTACACAGGAGGCCACCCAGATCTTATAATTGCCAGTCAGTGTTACATCTGCAGCAATACGTAGGCAGGACCATAAAGACCGTAAACACAGTCATATGATTAAGTGCTACTGACTAACATCTAACTGCAATGGAGTTAGAATTGAGTGAGGCAAATAATCAGGGTGAGGAGGGGAAAAGAGACACATCCATGTTCTGAAAGCAGCCCGTGCCTCAGTTTATGCTTCCAGTAAAGCAGAGATGATAGGTCATTTATAGGAATGTATTGTGACTTATATGAATATATACACACACAACATTAGGACAGTGCTGGATACATAGTGTAAGACATGTGTGGCTGTATGGTAATAATACCATCACCATGATTATTACTTCTCCCATCCCCATTCTGATGGTTAATCTTGTGAACTTGACAGGATTTGGAATCGTCTAGGAGACGAACTTCCAAGCATGTCTCTGAGGGCAATTCCAAAAAGGTTTCATCAAGGTGGTAAGGCTCACCCTCAATACGGGTGGCATTGCCCCATTGTCTAGAGTCCTAGACTGGGAGAAAAGGAAAACCTGAGCTATACAGTATATACCTAGGAGTCTCGATCCTGCTGCCATACTTTCTGAAACATGATGGACTGTATCCTCTAATTGTGAGCTCAAATAAATCCTTCTTTAATTTGCTTATTCCAAGTATGTTGTCATAGCAACAGCAACAAACTAAGAAAACTGGAACCAAGAAGTTCTGTGAGATACCCAACCATATATATCGTTCATAGGCCTTTAGAATTGGTTTGTGGGAGGGATGTATAAGAGTCTGAACCTGTAGTCTAGGGAAGCCACAGAATGGTTTAAGCAGAGCCTTAATGGGCCATTCTGGTAGGAGTCTGGAAGGCTAGAATGCCAAAAGAAATACAGTTGGAGTTAAGCTCGTTAAGGTTTAGAGAACAGGCCTCTACTATGAATTGGGCTAGCAACTATTTGTAACATTTTTGTTAAAAACGTTTGCATTTTACCCATGTCTTAAGGACTTCAATGAGGCCAATTTAAACATGACAGAAGAATTCATTGGGTGGAGGACATTTCAAGACAGCACAGCATTCAAGCTGTAGCATGGCTACTGCTCACTGTCCTTACTCAGTTCTATAATGATAGCAGCAAGCAGGACTGAAAGAGAGGGAAAATGTATGGGTTGGCTAGGAAGGGTGTTTGAGCCTGTTTAAAGTTGCAGATGAAGAAGAATAGGGAAAGTGGTGGTAATTCTTGAAGAGGCTACTGCCATTAAGGAGATGGCAAAGCCAGGAAATTACTTGACACATGAACGTGAAGACCTAACTTTGAATAAAAATCCAGGCATGGTGGCATGTGCTTGTTATCAGCCTGGGGATATGGAGGAGCCAGCCTAGCCTCGTCAATGAGCCTTGAGCAGCAACTTTTGAGATGGGCTAAATGCATTTTGCATCAAATGGACATGCCACTTTAGGGACCAGGAGTAGAATGATGATGTATTTGGATTTCAAGTTCATACTGAGTGGGAACGTGATAATTAAGGTTAACATGACAGGATTTAGAATTGCCTAGTAGATATATTTTAGGATGTTTCTCCCTCCCTGAATGTGAGCATACAATCCCATAATTTCTTTCTTTCTTCCTTCCTTTCTTTCTTTTTATCATTCATTCATTCATTCATTCATTCCAGGCAGGGTTTCTTTATATAGTTGTGGCTATTTTGGTACTAGACCAGGAACTACAGACCAGGCTGGACTTGAATTCACATAGATACACACCTGCCTCTGCCTCCCAAGTGCTGGGTTTAAAGGTGTGTGCCACCACTGTCTGGATCTTTTTTTTTTTTTTTTTTAAAGACAGGGTCTCTCAAAGTAGTTCTGGATGTTCTGTAATGCACTCTGTAGACCAGGCTAGCCTCAAACAGAGATCCACTTGATTCTGCCTCCTAAGCACTGAGATTAGAGGTGTGCACTACTGCTCATGGCTAAATAAACCCTTTTCTGCCTCCTAAGCACTGAGATTAGAGGTGTGCACTACTGCTCATGGCTAAATAAACCCTTAAGTTGAATTCGTTAGGTATTTTGTCACAACTAGAAAAGCAATCACCATCGCTACCCATTGAAGCTCCATCCCTTCCTGTCACCTATTCACCTTTGCAGCCATCCCTCACATGGACTTCTTAGTTTCCCCATCAGCCAGGCTTTCCTACACTCCTTCTAGAAACCTGGTAAGCTGCCTTCTGGGGCGGAAACTACTTATCACTCCTACAGAGAAGTCAGCATGGTTAAGGCAGGAGCAACACTGTCCTTTCATTTCTGTGAGCACATTAATTACAGCTTACAACAGTATTCAGAGGCGCATCACTGTCTCTCACCACTCAAGCAAAAGCATGAAAATTCATGAGGAGACCTTGTAGCCAGAGTCACTCCCAGTGATAACCCAAAGCCCACCATGTGGATGGAGCAAGGAGGAGGGACAGAAAGGGCCAGGAGGCGGGCCTCCCCAGATCCCACAGGTCACCATACCTGGGCCAAGGCCGGGCTGCAGTAGGCTCACACAGTGCAAAGTGTAGGTTGGGTTTCTGCCCAGTTACCATGCAAGAGCTGTGCAGCTGCTGTGAGATATTACTTCAGAGCTGTTTGGGACAAGGAGGCCTGGCCCTCCTGACCAGCTGAAAGATGCTCCAATGGCACTGCCACCTGCAGAAGCCCAAGGAGATACAAACTAAACAGAATAAAGGAACCAGAACATCAGAA